TCACCAATCATGGTGTCCCAGTCACGGACTGTAGAGCAATCAGTGTTCAGCAAAGCACCATCCTGCTGGTCACGATCAGAACCATCATGCTGCTGGTTACGTTGCTCATCACGCTTCTCATCATCATCATCATCCACATGGCTCGTCGACATTGTCTGCTGCAGTTGCTCTCGAATCCACGCCATGAATGAGTCAACAAGCAATTCAAAATGAACATGAACGCTTGATTGTCGGTGACTGTCACTACTGCTACATCTGAGTAGCAGCAGCAGCAACAACAAGAACAAGAGCATCAGCGTCAGCGGCAGGAGCAACAGAAGAAGCAGCAGCAGCAACAACCACAGCAGCAGTCACACCAACACCGCCACCGCCACCGTCACCAACAACCACAACATACAACAACAGCAACAGCAACAGCAGCAGCAGCAGCAACAGCAACCGCAGCAGCAGCAGCAGCAACAGCAACAGCAGCAGCAGCAACAACAGCAGCAACAGCAGCAGCAGCAGCAGCAGCAGCAGCAACAGCGACCGCAAAAGCGACCGCAACAGCGACCGCAACAGCAACAGCAACAACGATGGATGATGAGATGATGAGATGTCACAAGCATCATTTGTCACGCAGTGGTAATTGTCGGGAATTATAGTGTTATCTTGTGTTAATACACGTTTATTTGTATTTGCCAGTACAATACTTCTGATGCCTTCTGATGAGATGGCAGCGAACACGATTTTAAGGATACTAATATATTATATTACTTTTAGCCAATGGTGTGTGTGTGTGTGTGTGTGTGTGCGTGCGTGCGTGCGTGCGTGCGTGTGTGTGTGTGTGTGTGTGTGTGTGTTCAATGCGCAACTCGCCCTACTTATTGCGTTGTATAGGGCCACACAGAAAAAGTTTGTTGTTTCGGGTAGCCCGACCGACCGATGATTCGAGCGTCGACCGATTTTGTTGTTGTATGCATTCATGCATATACCTGTATGCGCATCACATACATTTGTTGTTGTATGCATTCATGCATATACCTGTATGCGCATCACATACATGTAGGACTCAGTATAGAGTCCATGCACTATATGATGTCCAGCACCCTATATAGAGTCCATTGGTCCAAATCCACTATACAGAGTCCAGGAGTCCACTCAGTTTTGATCAGCTTCATCCTGCCGCGCAATCCCCTATAAGGAGTACACATTTTCTACAAGTCCCCTATTCACAGTCCAGGAGTCCAGTTTATCCAGTCACGCCGTCCTGTGTACGTGTGTACGTGTTGTGCCCGAAAGAGAACAAGCACATTTTCAGTTTTGCTTGCCTCGTGGCAGCGCATTCCTTTCTTCACTTCAGCCATGGCTAGCTGCCAGTTCCGCTGTGCAGTTGCTGACAGTAATCTGTCTCGAGATAACCAAGGAGGATAAGGAGACGTTCAAAATCAAATCTGGAAAGCGTCTTGTGGTTCTCTGAAGACGTTTCATCAGTGCGCGGGATGAAAGCAGAAATTGCAGAACGAGAAAAGTTCAGCACAGTTCAAATCTGACGAGTCAGGTACACTGACACTCTCTTTCGTTCGACGCCACAAGGATTCCCTGTTTGGCTGGCCATTGCTGCCAGTAAGACGTTTGAACGGTTTCATCAGAGCGAGGGATGAAAGCAGAAACGGCGAAAGAGAAATGTTCAGCACAGTTCCAATTTGACGAGTCCGAGATACACTGACACTCTCTTTCGTTCGACGCCACAAGGATACCCCTGTTTGTCTGGACAAGAGCTGCCTGTACCACCGTGTCAAAAGGCTGTCCAACTACATGGCAGGACGAAGACTGAGGTAAGGAAGCTTTTACTCGTTTCGATTGGTCTGCTGTTCTGTCGTTATGCTTGAATTTTTTTCCATTTTCAAGGAGCGTATCGCGTTTGTTTGATGTTGCTTGAATGAATGCCCTAAAAGTAATCAACCACTTCGTAATAGTCCTCAAGGACTGCAAGGACTTTGCATCAATCGTATACGATCGTCTAGCTATCATCAATTATTATAATTATTTCATGAGAAATGTATTTTTATCCCTGTGATAATTATGTGAAACTCCACGACACTCTTCCTCTAGTATGATGTCAAATACAATGGGATCCACAAACGCAGTGCCAGTGTACTAGTAGTAGTAGGAGGATTGCTTGTTTGCCAATGACAAGAAAAAGCTTCTCAAGCTAATACTTGTATTCCCTGAAGTAACCGTTTTGATGTCACGAACATGACATTGTGATGTTGGTGTGTCTGTGCGTCTTGAGTGCGCACAAACGATCTTATTCCTCGTATTACTAATAGATTATTGTCCCCACCGTCACCTGTTCACAGGTCTTTGAGTGGATTGATTTTCATTGAGCATCACATTCGTTGAGAACTTGGTTGTTGTGTGCTCCCATGCATCATTACGGTAATAAGCGTATCCGTGTGCTGTCTATTTGTTGCAGGTGTGCTGATCTTCAGAAGCTTGCGGAACTGAGTGCTGCTGAACATTTGCATGGCCATGAGCAAGGGTGAAGCTTGCTATTGCACTCTCAGCATGTGCTAGTATTATGCTGACCACTGCACTATGTTACTCTCTTACACTACTACGTGTATGTAAATGTGCGTGTACCCGTCCCTGTATGCATTCGTTTCGTATAATTATTTGTTATCCCTCTTGACTTTACGTGTAAATGGGTGGACGTTTGTATGGCTGTTGGAGTTGCGCGTGTATTGTGTCTCTACTCTTTTCTTGGTGTTTTCTTGGCGTTGTGTAAGTTTGTGTGTGTGTGTGTGTGTGTGTGTGTGTGTGTGTGTGTGCACGCGCAATAATTTGAAAACAAATAATTAATCCTGGGCTCTCCATTATTCTATTTCGATTCTTGTTTTTTTCTAGGTATTTTCTTGGCGTTGTGTGGGTGTGTGCATGTGTGTGTGCGTGCACAATAATTTGGCAACACTACATGATTGAGATATTTTAATTTGCAGCGTCTGCGAAGAGACCACTTGATTTGAGGATGGTGTTTGTAGGCTTTTTCATGTAATGAAGTGGCTGCAGCGGCGCCTCAATACATATTTTTTTCTTGAGAAGTGAATGATGTAAAGGATTAAAGGGAGAGGCCGTTTTCTGGTTAATATTCACTGCTTACAGCAGATCCTATGTCTAATTTCGAACTCGTTAGGGGATGCTTGCTTAATTGGCTGGACTTTATACAGAGTGTTGTCCACATAAAGAATCTTTAATCTTTATAGTTGATTTCAAAGTTTGGACTCCGTACAGTTGATTTTGGACCAATGGACTCTATATAGGGGTGAAGCCAATTGGCTGGACTCTATACAGGGAGTGATGTCCATCTAAACTTTGAGCTCACAGTTGATTCCAAGTTTGGACTCTGTACAGTGGATTTTGGACCAATGGACTCTATATAGGGGTTGGACATCATATAGGGGCTGGACGCTCTACTGAGTCCAACATACATGTACATGTACGTGCGGTGTGCCAGGCCCATGATGGCCCAAGGCTCTTCTTTCCTTGCTCTGGCTAGACATTTCAGTCCTGTGTTTCGAGTTGAATCGACCGAGTAGGATTTGTTGCAGGGTGGTTGTCGTTGGCAAGTGTAACGTTTTCGACGACATGCTTTAGTTTAGAAACTCTAGTGGCAAAACAATTATGCCTGCAGTTTCCATCACTATTTGACGGCGGTCGGACCATCGTCAGCAGCTGCATTGTTGAGTCACGAATATTGTACCCTGAGTTGGAAACTCTTCCAGAAGGCGTCACTCGCTTCCTCAACCGAAACCGGGTCAAGGCGCAACTGTGCTGACAAGAGTGATAATGTTGAACTTCATTTGGAGTTCGGACAAGGACGCTGATTCTTTTTCTTTACATTGGAGCAACAGGAAGCTGTAGTTCCTGGCCCGCGACGATCGCTGAACGATGTGTTGATGCGCAACGTCTCGGGGCTCTGCTCTGCTCGGTGTCTGAGTATGACCAGTTTGACTGTTCCAGGCGGGCTGATCGAGCTATTGATTGAGACTACTATGTACATGTATGCCTGCTTTCGACCACACATTTTGTATCTGGGCTGTGTACTGTCCACATCTGCATACCGATCTGGCATGCATAAAAATTATCAGCAAAAAAAGCCGACCGACCAACCGGTATTTTTTTGGCCATGTTACCCGAAACGAAGACTTTTTCGGTGCGGCCTAGTGATGATATATTTTCTGTTCTGGCTCATGGTAGGTCCAAGCTGCACTTGGCTATTATAGAGGCATTATATATTCGCAAGAAACCCCCGAGCTATGTGTTCAGAAGGAAAATGTATTGTCACTTCAGTTGTTGGGCGTTAGTCCCTGTGTAAGTGCTAAGAATAATGGTTCTCATTGATCAGGAGGCAAAGAATGTTTTTGGTGACAGTTCCTCTTTTAGTAGAGTCCCTCTTTTGTTTTAGTATTTCATAGTATCCACATCCAGTGATCAATAAATGTATGGTCGGACCACCATAAAAGGGTTATAGAACTATCAAGTATTGCACACCATGCACTCAGATATCCGACCACCTTCCGGATCGAGTTAAGTGGTGCCATTTCTGAGGTTGCCTGATGTACTTTGTACATGGCTGCATAAAGGGTCCCCGCGAAGAGTGGTTACATTCCCCACGGTGGTCTGCAAAAGTGAGCTGGTCATCGTAGACCCAGGTGACAATGCGCTGCTGATGGTCACTACAAAGCTTTTACCAAATGCTTGCGTTTTAAAATAGAAGGAAAGCTCTGGACTGCTTACGTCAGAATGTCCAAGAGAAATCCAGTGTGCGACTTGGCCAAAATGTCTGTGCGGCACAGCAAAGGTCGTAGCTTACACCAGTGGTGCACCAGCTTGTCAATGACTAAGGGACCATCTACAGTAAACATAAGTAACACAGTATGCACATCATCGACAGTTCATACCTCCCTCCCATTAAGTATGCAACTCGCATTGACCTAAGGCACGGTGAAATCACCATATCACATCATGCACCTCTCATTATCCAATGTAGACTTTGACTGGTAAACAAGTCTGACGAGCAGCTCTCATCATTTTTCGCCGTACAAGAGGCTTACAGCTCTCGTCAAAACATCTGTTAATCAGCGATGATGTGCCAGAGCTGTTGCTGTTTCAAGAGCGATTGCGGATCGGAGATTAAATAGATTATGAAACGACCCTCAAACTCGACGTGCAGACCAAACGTCGTCACCAAGCACTGCACCCTTCCCTTTGGCTGCCTGTTGAAAGTCGATCGTGATACACAGGATCAGGAACGAACTGCTCTAAACTGGGTTTTAGTGCCAGGGAGCTGGTCGTTGAGACGGAAAGTTTTGTCCCGTCCAACACAGACATGCACACCACCGGAATTGTTACAACATGTTCTATTGTTGTTACTATTCACATACGACATTGGGATTCGTCATTCGAACTACATATAAGACAGGACAGAAAACAGTGACTAAAACCAAAAGGAACGAACAAGAAGATTCAAATCAAGCATACACGTGAGACAAGAAACCTTACCCTCACCACAGACCGCTAAAGTTAAGACATCCCAGGGGTTATGGCCAGCAATCAGGGAACGGGTAAGCATTTGCAAAATGCACTCTGTCCGAGAATCAACCGATACCAGATCTGCATGGAAGAAACCCAAACAAAAACATCCCAGACTTGTTTACAAAAGCATATGAGTAACATCAGAAGCCAGTCCGACTGGTCCGGCTGATCACGGTGTCCATGTCAGCATGTCTATTTGCAGCACTGGCCGGACAAAGACCAGATACTGACTGGACACTTGCTGGCCACTAGTCACATATAGACTGGGCACTGGCTGTGCGAGGCAACAGTGAGTATTATCAAGAGTACATAATCCCAAGAGTATGCAACTCTGCACATGGGGTCTGGTGCAGCGCGCTGCCTGCATTAAGTAGCCACGAACTGTGGGCCATTGCGGCATTATTGATCGGCTACGGTTTCCTGATTTCTAATCTGCTTTTCCTCAGAGATTTCGGATGGTTTTGTACGTGATGCGTCATGCACAGGCATTGCCTTTGAACATACCGTATTGCACGTGAAATCGTTGAGGCTCAACCGTATGAAAACTCAAATCCAGGATCGTCATTTCACTACGTAATGAAGGCAGTGCGCTGCCCAGGGCACCCATAGCTCGGAGATCAGAGTTGCACATTCTTGGGCTTATGTACTCTTGGTATTATGTATAGCACCGGTTGGCCAGGCGGGCAGAGAGTGATACGCACTTGGAAAGCAACTTCAATCATAACAATCTCATTTTCATGCGAAGCCTGCTGGCATCCAAGACTCAACTGCATAGTTTGTAGCCACATGCATATATAGATGAGTTGTGACAGACTCGACCAACAGTACCTACCCATGTTAGGGAGCATCTCATAAGTTCGCATTTTTTTTCTAAACGTAACGCATTTCGAAACGGGGGTAGGGGGGGGGGGTAACGCCCTTTTCGAATAGAAAAATGACAGTTCGCACATTTTCTGGATTTGTACATACTGTGCATGCAGTGCATGTGCTAGATTGCTTCAGCAAATGAGTGTGTTTAGGTGTAGATCTATGTGCCTGTGTTTGGAGATCAGCCTTGCTCAGAGGTGTCAAGTACCTTCCAACAACAAGCCCCCTGAAGCCCATCCTCCCACCTCCAGCCAATCCCCGCCCAGTGGGTGGTCGATCCACTAGGTTAGCCACGGAGACTGCCCACTGCCACCCGCTCCAGCTCAAGTCGACGCTGCCCATGCGCATTCGTAGCAGCCTCCAGGGTTCCTACCCAGACTGCATTATTCCCTTGTGGAACAGCCTACCAGCGACCATTCTACCAGCACGGCCGCAACCCAGCCAGCTCCAATCATTCAAGGAAAGATGCAACAAGTATCTGCTGCACCTGAACTGGCAAGCAGCCACCGACGCCCTATGAAACGGTTTAGACCAGTGCCTCACTAGCATCCTCCCCCCCCCCCCCCCCTTACCACAATGTGACGTATCTTTCACTCTGCTTCTCTCACGACCATCTACCCATTGTCCTTGTTTCTCACTATTATTCATTTCCCCTCTTCCTCCCCTCTTCATGGTTTTACTGCATTATGGCGCGTTTTGTCTGCGTAGACGCCGAGACCTTTGAGGTCGGCAGAGCAGCCTGGCCCCGCCACCACTTCTCGCACATATTCGGGAATATAGTGGACTTTCGTATAAAAAAAATATAAAAAAGTGTCACATCAGCATCATCAAACTGTGTACCTGGCCAGCTTTTACAGTACACAGTCCTTGTGGAGGAACTCTGTGTATGTGCGTGTACATGTCATTCATTGTTCTTGTGCTCAGTAGATGCAGTACTGTATGCCATTCACTTTGACCATGTTGACATTCATGTGCATACCATGGGCATACAAGTCATGTGCATGGACATGCACACTATTAGGTCCACACGGAAAATGTGCGATAAGACTTTCAAATAGAGGGGGGAGGTAGGGGGTAAAGTCTATTCGAAATGCGTTACGTTTACAAAAAAAGTGCGAACTTATGAGATGCTCCCTTATCTTCATTATAAGCACTGGGCACCTCGTGAACGCCAGATAAATTAGCAACGTCTGTTCTCACCGTCCAGGAGGGTCCAGGATCAACACTGACTCGCGCTGCTATCTGGTGTTCACGAGGTGTTTGTTGCACTGGAAACGGAGCATCTCTGTAAGTTTGTATCCCTGGTGATGGTTTGGCCTGGAGTTAAGCTCAACTAACTAGGGGTGAATTCTCCCGAAGCACTGTAAATTGAGAAGGGAGTGGTGCTTTCTCGCAGGTTTGCCGAGTCGAAGGTTCGATGGACTTCTTGTGTGCTCTGGATGGCAGTCGTGAGGCAGTCAAGTGTCAAGTCAAGTCGGGGGAATGTGCGAGCTCCGGTGTGGGGAGCAAACACCTTTCCCATAAATCATCGCCAAAGTCACTACCAGTATTTCCTAATGTAGGACCTAAGCGTAATATCACTACTTGGTAGAATGTACCTGTCTGGGAATTAGAGTTACGAGAGGCTTGAAAGCCCAGGCGCCCTCGCTATGCTTTGTTTTTACCTAGGTCATCATGTGTGTTATTCGAACTGATAGAAACGCCTTTGCAATACAAAAACATGTGCCCGATAATTGTATTACACCTACAAAAAAAGAAAGAAATATCAGCCAGGATAAATTTATAGAAAGTGTTGGCGGTGTGATCACTATGAGTGTGGGTATGTATCAAAGGTCAACATATACCAGTATAAAAACCGAGGTCCCATTTCAACGACGCGGAGGAAGTAATAAATGCAAAATTGTCGCTTCGCACATCACAATGTTTGTGACTTGCTTGTCTTTAAGCAGTTGGTGGTCTGTCGGACTTGCTGTTTTCTGTGTTCGAACATTGCTCCGACCATTCCTGCACAATGTCTATTTGCTACGGAAGCCGTGGTGGTCTCGGAGCTCTCGTCCGCGCCAGACAAATTCATCGCGCTCCGCACTATTTCGCCCCAGAGTGCATATCTCTTTTCTGGAGTTCGTGCCGGCCCATATCGTTTGCGTGGGCATTTGTCAAGACTAAAAGCTCCGGTATAAGAATCCTAGTAATTCTCCTGAATTTGAAATGCTGAAGTTGACGATGGCAAGAACAAAAGATTCTCAAAAGGAAGATTAGGCCTGAAGAGCATCACTTATATGGGCCAGTGCATGCAATACCGCGTCTAAGGGCAAATTTTTTGGAATTTTTTTCCTTCTTGAAAATCAATCACTGGGGTGTAGAGAACAACTCTGTGGAAGATGAAGCTGGATATCACATTTGAAAGTACATAGAGACCATGATTTCTATGGCATTGTCCAACATGGAATATGCCTTGTATAATGCATTATCTACAGCGTCGCTGAAAGCAGCAACAGTTTTGCGTATAAGCCTTTAGTATTGGCCAAGACAATCAATGAAGACTGCCTTGTTATCCAGACAAAACCGGGCAACATTGTCCAGCAAATTCTTGCAGCGTTGACCTAACAAGAACTCGCGTTCCTCTTGTGCAAAGTCAACATGGTCACGGAGTGGTTCCGTTGCAGACTTCTTTTCATCCTCTGCACGAGGAGAACAAATATCGTCCCGGAGCAGCGCACACTTGTTGAACACATCCATCCGTTGCGTCATGAACTCGATGGACTAGCACTTCTTAGTCCACAGATACAAACAAAATATGGTAACCCAGGGTTTGCACTTCACCAGACTGCTCGACATGTTCCGAAAGGACAAACTTGTAGGCGACGGATGTAGGTAAGTTTCATGGGAGATTCCTCACCTCTCCCTCTTGGTGCAACAGACAAAGGGAGACCAAACACTAAGCTGTAGTTCAGTCTGTTCAGAATAAACTGCTCCGCTCTGTCTCCCTTTTCTGCAGTAAATTTATTCCAAGGCACATTGCCAGCTTTCCATGTGCACCAGGGTCACAGCTAATGTTCTCCTTGTCCACTTGCAGACAGTCATATTCTGCCAACCACATGGAGCTGCATAAACGCGGTTCGACACACGATGTGTCCCATCACAGTGTATCCAAACGTGATGCGCGTCCTTTCCGTTGCGGAAGCTGTCGACTGATGCACGACAGTCGACAGGATCGTCACGCGTGCAGCGCAGCCAGCGCCCCAATATAAAAAATGCCGAAGTCCTTCGATTTCATCGCCGAGATTTAGTCGTCGTAATGGAGGATTGCGCTCGACGTGAAGCTGCTGAAATGGTAGTTCCGAACGCAGCCACAGCCTTCAAGAATCAGTCAGTCCACAGCGGCAATGCTCTGAAGCGCGTCCTGCTCATCGTCGCTTGCAGAGGCCTAATTCATCCGCTCTCGACTCGCCTTCAACCTCAACACTCCTAGGAGTCTTTCACTCCCGGACGCTTAGCTGGGGCTTCATCAGAGTCACTGTGAGCAGAACAGCTGCTAGTTGCCGACTGCTCCGACTCACGACTCGCCAAATAAATTGTCGTCTTCCTCCTCGATAATAAACCTTGCCGATCTCTTCGGACGCGCCGACGATAATCACGCGAGCGGTACAGCTCAACCGGCGTGCTGCTCGGCGTCTGCCACGAGTGTGTCTACTCAGAGGCCCTTCCTCAAGTGCTAATTCCAACTCCTCCTGCGCCGCCACGTCCATGATGATCGCTTGTCGGTCGCTTCTCTTGTCGTCTTGAGATCGAGTAGACAAGATCCGCGGTCGAGCCACAAAAAAAATAACTCTTCTTTCCGAGCGATTTTCTCAAAATTCTGAAAGAAATCGGTTTCCCCCGAAGACACGTTTTCGCATGCACTGGCCCATATATTGCTCTCCAGGCCCAAACATGACCAGGGATACAAACTTACAGAGACGCTTTGTTTCCAGCATGACAAATACCTTGTGAATACCAGACAGCAGCGTGAGTCAGTGTCGCTCGTGGACGGTGAGACAGACGTCGAGGACCCTCGGTCATTCACAACGCTGTCACCTCCAAACCAGCTAGTCGCAAGCCCACACTCGGCACAACAGTACGAAATTAATGGTAGCGACTTCGGCGATGATTGTTAGGAAAGGGTATGCTCCTCTCAGTCAAGTGTCAAGTCAAGTCGGCAGAATAGCGCGAGTTCTAGTGTGGGGAGCAAACTCTTCCTAGTTTGAAAAAATGTTGAATATATTGATTATCCGTGCTCGACTAATGTATGGTCTGTCGGTAAAGGTATACTTTGATTTGGTCGTCCGGATATCAAGGAGTATGGTGGCAACTGAAATGAATTTCCAAATCAACTAAACCTGAATTTCAAATTTCCTGCGTAGCCATGCCAAGTACAGGGAATATGCCCGAGCTGCGAACGCATTGCGCAGTCTTTGAACAAGACATGAAGCTAAACCTTTTCCACACTTTCCACACTGGCCACTATTCTCTAGTACATGTACAACTGACTTCCGAGTGCACTGACAATCCTCGTGGAATTTGCACGCACACCTCAAAACGAAATTTACTCTCACTTCCCTTCACCTTGATGGATTTTCATGATCCTGGGCTCGTTGGAAAGATCAGGACCAAATGAATCCATCCTGACAACTCTTGGCTCTATAGGCACACCAGGGCCACCTCTACTTCTATGGAAAGGGTTAAAGCTTGTGGTGAGCCGCGACATCGCTGCACCAGCGCAAGCTGTGGTCACTATGGTAATGAATACTAATGACGGTGTTTCATCTCATGATGTACAACGGAGCCACAGTGGAACTCGGCTCTAGGTCGGGGGCATAGAGTGACGAAGTGGCGGCGTGTTGGCTGAAGTGGAATCACAATGCAAAAACACGTCAAAGCAATTACAGCTGCCTAGTATGCAGACAGCTTACTTACCTGATATGTTGGGAAGGGGAAGCAACGTCTTAGCTAGTTGAAAGATGACCAAAGCTCCCTGATAATCCACAACACCAAGGCAGCATTGTGATGGTGAGAAACAGGCAACAGCGGCTGCACATGGAGATGAATCACTGCCACTCTCCTTACTCAACGCACACTGTTGCTCCTGCTGCTGCTTCCAGCCTTGGCAAGAGCTAGTAGTAGCAGGGAAAGGACACTGACTTCTGACCGTTAATGTTGACCTTTGAGGTGAAAAAAGCACAAACAAGCCTTTTGAAATGTGAGCAAAAGAGTGTTGCTGTCTGTACAGAGAAGCACCGTATGTTACCGGTTACAAGTCGATTTTTTATGACCTAACAAGTAAAAACCTAACTAAAAATGGGGCAGTCGACTTACAACCAGGTTTCTAAATAAGCAAAAAAAGGATTATTTTTCTTCAGACTTTCCCTTTTTAAATCCCTCACACTTAGGCTGTACTCACACTACTTGAAAAACCGCATACAAGTGACTTACGTGTGAATGTTGCCACGGTGACGGTTGCGAAAATGAAAAAAGCCCTTGAAAGCCGCTTGAAAGGTTTCAGTGGAAACGGAACCCTCTTCTACGAGGTTTTTTGCGTTCAAGCCGTTTGGAAAGCTGTGTGAGGTCAGGAGGTCGGAGTACTATTGTACGTTGAAAGGCTCTAGAATATTTTTCATGCTTTGTTTCCTCGTGGTCGTACTGCTCTTGTACATTATACTTGTAGTTTCCTTTTTTTGCTTGTCATTTCTGAATTCTTTGGTGTTTTCCGAGTATTTTCCGTCTTCTTTCTTCCAGTAGCTTCCCGTTGTTTTGATTGCCGTTTCTGTCGCATTTCTTTTGTACCATTGCTTTGTCCCGACATTATGCCTCGCGTAGTGTTTTCTGACGACTTGGAGAAGAAGTTCATCGAGCTGTGGAGAGAAACCTCTTCATCCGTCGACGTCGACGATCTGCTACTTCTTCGCGAGGCATGGCGAATGAACTCCACGATCGAAGCAAGATATAACTGTTTCTATTTTCTCATGAACTGAAAATTTCAAATAAGTTGATCGAGCGCAAAAAATTTGAAGGCACGTGCCTCTGGATTTGCAAAACTACCACATGACAATCATGTTTCTCCATGGTAATTTGCTGACAAAAATGTTTCAAGTCGTCACTGGAGTGCAGTGTGCTTGGAAAGGCTTTTTCAAGTACTTTTGTCCAGTTTTGAACGCGACATTCGCGTCAACCTTTCAAGTAGTGTGAGTACAGCCTTACCGTATGTCAGCGCCTTTAAAGCCATGGCCTTATATTCGAAACACCGCTGCTTTCCTAGCTATTTTAGATGCAAAATGACTTGCCCACTACGCCATGCCATAAAAGTCAAAGTCCACACAGAAATTTCAATCTAAAGTCTAAACCCACTTATCAGGGAAAGAAGAAACACAAATCTCAAGCTATTCTTCACCATCGTCATCAATAAGGACTCCGAAATTCACGAACCAGTTTTCGGGCATTCTCTTCAAATGAAATACAAGCAACCAGAACCAATGAAACATAGGGATAAGTAGCATCACAAGGGTGGTAACCATTACAACTAGGTGATAAATGTAGCGAAGAATTTATGCACAAGGGGAGAAAAGAGAGAAAGAGAAGGTGAGAAGTGAGACAAGAGGAACTAAACACACACACTGTGTAAAGACAAACACCAAATGGACGCTACATTAACTAGTGGGATCAGGGGTGTCAGTAAACAACTTGAGAGATATTACATTTTTCTTTTGTTCACACAAAGGTGGCTGGGTAGTGTAAATATAGATAGCTTCACCTAGTTATAACGGTTATCACCCTTGTGATGCTACTTATCCTTATGTTTCATTGGTTCTGGTTGCTTGTATTTCATTTGAAGAGAATGCCCGAAAACTGGTTCGTGAATTTCGGAGTCCTTATTGATGACGATGGTAAAGAATAGCTTGAGATTTGTAGTTTTTCTTTCCCTGATAAGCTTCCTGTCTCCAAGAAAGTTATTTAACTAAACCCACTCGTTCACCCTTCCTGCTGGACTGTAAGTTTGTTAGTCACTTAGTATAGTACTTATTCCTTCATTTTTACAAAACATACTTGAAATGCCATTTGATTTATGATGCCCATGGCTTTATAACTGAGACTGGCTTTATAATCGAATATACCTCCATGGCTTTAAAGGTGCGGATATACGGTATGAATATTATACGATTTGGGGCTCCCGCGTTCTAGTTTGTGTTAAGCCTAGTTCACATTCGACGGGACGCGACGTATTTAAAGGATCGACGGGAAACGACGGGACGGTCTGCCGGCGCCCAATGTGAACACCAGGTACGGGAACGCAACCGTACTACCGACAGATCGGGAAGCGACGGGAAGAGTTGAATCGATTCAACTTTTCATACCGTAGACGGGCGTAGACAGGGACGCAAGCGTACAAAACGGCTGCAATTCGAGTGTGAACAGGAGACGGCGTCGTGCGCCAATTCCTCCCGATTACTCCCGATTCGTACTTTGACATTTTTAGCATTTCGAACAATACGTTTCCCATGACAACTCACAGAATGGCTAGCAAGACTTGAGTTGAATTTTAGTAAGATAAGATCTCATGTCACTTATCGTATTTGGGGATAGTTCAGGAGCGTGACAGACGACCTGTTCTATCATTTCGTATCTAATATTGACTGAGTACGAGGTCAATATAGGAAATAAAAGCCGAGTAAAAGACCGAGGCGAAGCCGAGGTCTTTTACGAGGTTTTTATTTCCTATACTGACCAAGTACGAAGTCAATATTAGATTTATCACGACAAACAGTCCAGTCCTCATGAATCCCGGTTTTATGATTGCACAACCGTTGCACCACTACCTACTCATGCAGTGACAATGCTGCAGTAGGCACCGTTCAACTGCGCAACCCCTAAGCAGTCAAATATAAGCAGTCAATATAGCCCTAAGGAGTGAAATATGCAGGAATATTTGACTGCTTAGGTATAGCGAAAATCAATGGGAGTCAATACTAAGGGAGTGATAACTGCGGCTATTATTCGAATTCCACAACTTTCAGGGCTAATTTTTGGTCTTCATGAACTGGTATTGTGAACTTGATTCCGCTTCATTCAAGGAGAAATAATTGAAAAGAAGTCCCGAAAAACAAGAAATTAGGTCCGAAAGTCACCTCGTGACCGACTGTGGCGTTTGACTCGCGCCGTTCGACATTGAACAACACAACGACTGCTGCATGTCGTGTCGTACGAATAGTGCAGGATTATACAGCTCACCCCAGCCGTCCCGACAGGCCCTTACGTCCCGTACCGTCAGCTTTGCGTCGAATGTGAACTAGGCTTTACAGTGAGGGCTGCATCCCACCAGCCTGTGTGGATAGATTCACAGGAAGCGAGAGTTTCAAAGTCTGAAAAAATGATTATTGGCCGCTGCTGGGATGATGACTACACCATGGCTTAGTTGTAAACGCATCGCTGACCATGAGCGAGGGTTCCTGGGGGTGACAGTCAGTTTTCCTTCTCCAGTGTCGAGTCAGTCGGCAGGAAGCGCGAGCTCCGATGTTCGGAGGAGACACTTTATTACGTGTAATTCAAACTTTTTCGTCGTACCAATCGTCTGGAAGTCACTTCAAGTCAAATTTGAATGCGTAATTCGAAGTACGAAAAGTGTGCCCGCTGGATAATTCGAACTCTGTCTTCGTCAAAAGAGCAGTTTACAGTACAGTGACTGCGTCCTTCGAATGCTTATTTCGAAGTGAGATAGAGCTGCAGCAGAAATGCAGCAGTATAACACTGACTCACCGTTCCAAAAGTGTAATGGTACCATCTTGACCAATACATGCCAGCATGTCACCAAGGCACACTGATTGGCTGCTGCAGCTGCTTCCCATAGCAACAGTGGCGATCCTGCTACTGATTATATTGCTGCCACCGTTACTACTGCTAGTGACCGTTGAGAAACCGGTGGTGGTAGTAGAAGTGCTGGTGTTACCTCCGCTGCACCTGTTACTGTTGCCGTTGGTAGAAGTACTGGTGCTGCTGATACCTCCAGTAATTATACTGCAACGCTCGGTGCCTCCACATTTACTGCTGTTGGTGGTGGTGGTGCTGCTGCTGCTGCCCTGCAAATGACCAGTGGCTGATGAAGATGCAGGTGACAGCAAGGTAGTGCTGCGTGCAGGTGCTACATAAGTTGGTGATGGTATGGCAGCATCCATGAAAATCGTGTTACTTTCATAGTGATGACTACAACTAACGTGGACCTAGTGCAGAAGAGCGAAAAGTGCACATTCAATAAGGAACTAATTACTTCTAGGACGAGTTTTTTGTCAGAATTGACTTCAAATAATCAACCCTAGAACAGAACAAAGATAACGATTGGAAATAAAGGATTTTTTTAAAGGGTGTGCAGACTCCACTGTAGCTAATTTATCTTAACCCATTCACTGCTGAGCCCGTTCTATTACTTCAAAGTACATGATTCTAGATGACGCCCAGGTTCTGAGCTTGTTCTACTACATGATTCTAGATGACGCCCAGGTTCTGAGCCCGTTCTATTACATGATTCTAGATGACGCCCAGGTTCTGAGCCCGGTCTACTACATGATTCTAGATGACGCCCAGGTTCTGAGCCCGTTCTATTACATGATTCTAGATGACGCCCAGGTTCTGAGCTCGTTCTACTACATGATTCTAGATGACGCCCAGGTTCTGAGCCCGTTCTATTACATGATTCTAGATGACGCCCAGGTTCTGAGCCCGGTCTACTACATGATTCTAGATGACGCCCAGGTTCTGAGCCCGTTCTATTACATGATTCTAGATGACGCCCAGGTTCTGAGCCCGCTCTACTACATGATTCTAGATGACGCCCAGGTTCTGAGCCCGTACTAGTAATGTGTTTTCACACCCTGGGTGTACACCGCGCATTGATGAGAATTGACAGGACACGCACATGGTCAAATGTTCGTAACTTCGCCAATTCCAACTCAATTCTCACAATCGAAATACATGTATACAGGTCGAAGAGGAGAGTCTAAATAAACGACGTGGAGACAACAATTTCAAAATAGCAACAAATAGTATTAATTCTTCTGTCATCACCATCCATCAACGATTCAGTCACGATATTGCACTGATGATTGTGACGTGAAAATCGATTTAGGAAAACCTTGATGACTTTGTTGATGTGGGGTGATGACGCCAGAATTTCTACTGTTTATTGCTATTTAGAAAGTCTAAGCTTGCAATTGGATCAGCGAATGTTGTGTTATGAAGCTTGATGGACACCCAGCGCAGTGTGTGGACACATGATTGGTTGGAAGAAGCTGCGACAATCGGTTTCCCAATCAAACGCGCTCCGAATACGTTAACCATTTTGTACAGAAATTAAATTGACTATGTGGCCACCTGGCTGCGCACTGTGATGCCAGCACCGGATGAGGTAGACTATGCACTCAAGTTCGATTGGGAATATGTGACAAATGATGGATTGCAGGCCTTCTCGTACAAAGACCATTCGATTCTTGTGCCCAAAATTCTACGGATCCTGAGATTTTCATTTTTCACCGGACTGCCCCTTTTTTTAAACAAAGACATGTAGCATGCACCAAACACTCTGATGCATGTACGTGGCTGCAGATAAGAATCACCCACATCACCACAACCAAGAAGAACTTCACTTCATCACCAAACAGAACTTACATGCCTACGTGTTGCTGTGCTAAACGATGTATCTTGTTGCACAGGTGCTTGCACAGATGGTGGTGATGAAGCGGGCGCTGATACACAAGCAGCACTATCGGCACTAGCGCCAGTTGACTCGGTGCGTAGAGATGTAGCACAGGTGTTGTCTACACCAGGAATACACATCCGCCATCCGTACACAATACTCTTGCTACTGCCTGTATGCACACAGTCAAAGTCCAAAACAACAGTCTTCCTCTCCATGAACAGGAGGGATCAGCTATGGCAAATATGCCATCAACCCCCGCCACTTCCAAACGAAATCTTGAAAAGTCCAAATTCAGTAAAGTAAGTAAGTAAATTATCGTATCCGTTCCCGAAGGGAACTCATACGATAATTTACTTACTTACTTTACTGAATTTGGACTTTTCACTTTTCAAATTCAGTTGTTGTATTAAAAAAAGGCGACGTGGAGACAATGATCTTAATACATGTAATGCAATGAATAAAACTATATGTGCACTCATATCACAACCAGTGGCGGATCCAGGACTTGGCCGAAGAGGGGGCCCAAGGTATCCGCCCCCCCCCCCCCCAAAACAAAACAACAAATACAACAACAACAAAGTCCTGAAGCTGTGAAGAGCAGTTGTTTTTAGGGTCCGGCGGATTCTGCCGGCAGAAAAATTGACAGAATTCGGTACTTTTTCTGGTAAGTTTTATGGATGTTTGGTATGTGGATAAAAATACTATAGTATGGAGCAGAATTCGAGGAATTGCCCGCCATAAGGTTTGTATGATTCTGCCAATTTCACTGCTTTTCGAGCAGAATATGCCACCTTTTCGAGCAGAATCCGCCGGTTTCTAGTTTTATTCCATTCTCACGACATTTTCAAACTGCACTGGAACATTTCCACTCGACAGCGGCCGCGACGGACCTTTGGACGGCTCTCCAACGCGAGCTCTCTTATCTACCGGTCCACTGAAGAACGACCTGATGTCAGACCCTTTCCTCTTCATCTCATATCTGAAGGTAACCCGTTGGCTACAAGCGAAGTAGAGAGCTAGAGAGCGTATACTTGTAGTTTCTGACAATTGAAAAAGAAAAAAGGAAGGACGAAGTCGACAGCACCGTGCACCAAACAGGACTTCAGCCCAACGCGATCGCTGCACTATGTACCAGGCCCTGCATTTTTGGCACGTTTTTCACATGTTTGAAGTGCGGCCGTGTCCTCAGGTCGCAGTGCGTACAGTAGTTGTACACCGGTACACAGCGCGCTGACTAGTACAGACTCATGCTCGGTGCGTGACACCATGTACCGGAGTGATCGGACACGTATAAAAGTACCCAGCACGCGTGACCCACTTGACACGCCAAGTAATTTCGAGCGCTCATTCTACAGTCTACTGTAATCCTAGACCAAGGTCGAAATTTTCAAAGGGGGGGCCCAGGCCCCCTGGGCCCCCCCCTGGATCCGCCACTGTCACAACCATAGCAACGAATAAAGTGTTCCAGAACGTTTTCTTGTCACAATTTTCAATGGAAGCTTGTGACTGAAGGGAACATCAAACAATATTAGGATGTATACACTTAGAGTGACAAAAACACGGTAACCAGTAAGAAAGCAGCACATTCTTAAGATATAGTAGAATGCACTGGTAGTGATTACGGAGATGGAGGTGGAAGTCAGCCAACAAGCACAGGCGGTAAGAAGAACACGTGCGCAATCAAAACACACTTGTTATCTAACCCACTTTGTCGTGATTTGTATGATGATTCGTGGTTTAGTGTTGTTCGTTCTGCAAGTAGTTTCAAGCAGTTGAAAGTTCTAGAAGCAGGTTGCATTCGTATTCGTGATCCTAACCTGTGCAGGCAAGAAGAAAATGTTACTGCACTTAGGGCATGTTCGATTGGTAGGATCGGGATCCCGATCCACCGGATCCACTGGATTCGCACTCTTTCGATTGGTCGAATCCGGATCCGGATCCTTCGGATTTGGATCCGGTCAACCTACCTCGGGGAGCAGGGTTGACCGGATCCAACGGATCCAAATGTGACCTTTGTGCGTATATGGCGGGTAAAAATCATTTTTGTACACATTGTGGTACGCACACGTGGATCGAGATAGAGCTTGCCGACTTTTTGTAAAACTGGCGCGGTGAGTACGACTTTTTATCACTTCGTCAACATGGCAACAGTCAAGTCCCAAAAAAGTGTCCAGTTGACTCTGAACACGACTGAAGGATCCGACGGATCTGAGATCTGGATCCCGATCCTTACCAATCGAACATGCCCTAACACTAACTATTCCAGTAATTTTTGCACTCACCACAGTTACACATGCTATCGCCACATTGCACCTCACATTATACCGCGCTATCGGTGCTGAATGCCCCAACATATTCTCACCTGTGTATTTATCGCTTACCAGTGCATTCTACTACCGGTTTATTTTAAGAATGTGCTACTTTCTTACTTGTAAAATAGCAATGAAAAATATCAATTGTGCACTCATAACCATGTATAAACAATTAAAATGAAACAATTCCAGAACGTTTTCGTGTGACCATCATCAGTGGAACATCGTCACATAGTAAGAATCACTAAAACAACCAGTTATATAGCTAGAGTAATATGAAAAGAAGCGTGAGAATGCAGCACAGCTAGCGGTTATGCATAACGCGTGTAGTGTGAACCTTTGCAGTGTATCTGAGAATGGTAGCTGTGCTGCATTCTCACGCTTCTTTTCATATTACTCTAGCTATATAACTGGTTGTTTTAGTGATTCTTACTATGTGACGATGTTCCACTGATGATGGTCACACGAAAACGTTCTGGAATTGTTTCATTTTAATTGTTTATACATGGTTATGAGTGCACAATTGATATTTTTCATTGCTATTTTACGACTGTTGTCTCCTCGTCGGTTATTTCTTACTTGTTCCGGTGTTTTTGTCACTCCAAGTGTATAAATCCTATTATTCTGAAACGTCCACCTCTCTACACTGCGCTCTTGAATTATTTTCAAATGGCCGGGTTTGTCGCTACTTCAGAATCCTATAATTGTTTGATATTCCCTTCAGTCACGAGCTTCCATTGAAAATTGTGACAAGAAAACATTCTCGAACACTTTATTCGTTGCTATAGTTGTGATATGAGTGCGCATATAGCTTTATTCAGTTTTGTATGAAAACCTGAGGTGTTGTTCCCATAGAGTGGCAACATACCAGCTAAAGACATGGTCAATCCAATCGTCTTCAGGTCTGTGCCGGAATAGAGTCTCAACCATGACACACAGCCAACAAATGGCTTTGGGCAAGTTGACGATGATGTGTCTATTGTAGCTAAACTCTCAGAAGACATGTTGATACCAGCTAAGAATACAATAGCAAACATTGCGTCAAGGTATATACCGATACAAGAATGTCGCTACAGCACATCAAAGCACAACAAGCTACACATGTTCACTTGGCAAGAATTCAGAAAGAAAAGCAGCAAAAGAAACTGGAAAGTATGCGGGAAGCGGTCAGCGTTTTGATGGCATTGTGGGATGAATGAGCCGTCTCCAGATATTACTATTTCTGAAGCATAGCTATTTGGCAACACGATTCCCACATAACGATGTCTGATAATCCGAACCTCGAAATGGGCATGCCCATTAAAATAGAAGTCCCACAGAATCCAACTACTGTATGAGCACAAATTTTCGTTTGGAATTAACTTTCGCTATATTCGTTAGGGGGCACGAAATACCGTATATTCTCTATTATAAGCACAGGTCTCCATTACTAGCACAGTCTCTAATACTAGCACACTGTGAGCACCTTTCGAAACATTATAAGCACAGTCTCTATTATTAGCACGGTCTTGGTGGAAATCAATGCTGTATGCATGATATCCAGCATGTATTTCTTCTTGCTCCGTATGGATGTATTGGTTGAAAAATATAAGCACGGTCTCCAATATAAGCACGGGGTAGAGGGGTGTTGAAAAAATAAGCACGGCGCTTATAATAGAGGATATACGGTAACTGAAGTTTGTACCACACTAAAGTTTTTTTTCTGAACGTTCGGGGTGACCGACCTCGACCAACAACGAAATTTAGTACGTAACAAGCCTGCTGGTGGAGTGATATAACGAAAGATTTCGTGAACGAAAACTTGTACTTATACAGTACATAAGTTAGAAAATGCGTGGGGTTTGCGCTGATAATTCAAAGTTAGCAAAGCATAATTCAAAGTTAGCAAAGCATAATTCAAAGTTAGCAAAGCATAATTCAAAGTTCACTGTACAGTCAGACCTCGCTTATCCGGTCCTCTTTTACCCGGATCCCTCGCCATCCGGAAGAATATCGCAGGTTACCGATGTGCAGCATATCAGTGTCTGCTCTAGGATTTGTAGGACAGCCGGGTACACGTGTACCTGGCGCAACCATTTCAACCGGGTCGGAGCCGGGTACACATGTATTCGACGCGCGCCTCTGCATGATCTGTCACACATACAAGCCATGTAGTCAGCCTTTTCAAAGTTCGAACGTGTAAAGTACCAACCGGGTCACAGGTGACCCGGTACTATATTTTCAACCGGGTCCAAGCGCCGCCCAACCGGGTCGATTACCCGGCTCACCCGGTTCTGGAGCAGACACTGCATATGTTACGCATACAACATAACCGGACCACGCGATCCGCATACCGGTGCATGATTTTGTGTACAAACTGGTTGAAATATGTACAAAAAGCTTCGTCGTATCCGGTTGCACGTGGCTTGCAGAAGCTAGAATCAGGGAGTTGTACAAGCAAATGAGGTCCTTGACCTGCTGGATGCATGTGGATAGCACTCAGTTGCATGCACTTGTCATTTTTCTCGCTTGTTTTACATATCATGCACGCTAGTTGCACTGCATAGGACCCGTCTACATGTATGTAGTATGCCACTCCTTTTGATATGCCACATGCATATACGGTATGTGTGTTCAGTTATCCGGTTCCCTCGTCTATCCGCAAATTTTTGTGGAAAATGGATGTGTGCGGTTAAGCGAGGCCTGACTGTACATTATACAAGTCAATTCAGTGTGCATGAGCAGGCTATCCTGGCCAGTCCGGTGTCCGCTAAATCTGTGTCTAAGGTGCACAGCGCAACTCTGCATGACAAATTGACAATGTGAGCATTTTGACATACATGTGTTGTGGGTACATGTTTGGATAATTACCGAATGTCCGCACCTTTAAAGCCATGGAGGTATAATTGATTAGAAAGCCAGTCTCAGTTATAAAGCCACGGGCTTCATAAATGAAATGACATTTGAAGTATGTTTTGTAAAAATGAAGGAATACGTACCATACTAACAAACTTACAGCCCAGCAGGAAGGGTCAACAAGTGGATTCGGATGGACATTTCTGTGCGGACTTTGACTTTTATGCCATGGCATAGTGGGCGAGTCATTTTGCATCTAAAATATCTAGGAAAGCAGCGGTGTTTCAAATATAAGGCCATAAGGCGCTGACATACGGTAGAATGTCCGCATTATTAGAAGGTTCCCCCTGGCATTTTTGGGTTTGAATTGTCAGGATTCCACCTGTAACAGGTACAGAACAGCCCTACTGGATCTTGCATAACAGTGTATCTGGTTTTGCTTGATTCAGTCAAGTACCTACCCGATCACCAATCACCCCGATCACCCATAGTAACTTAACATGTAGCTGAGAAGAGTAAGGATACTTGGAGATAGATCAGAAGCAGCTTCAAAGTCCAGGCGGAAAATCTGCACTTTCGAGCAAGAAGACGCCACGGCAACGATAGTAGAACCATCTGCGACAAGACAGTAAGAAGACAGCAGCAGCATTAGAAACCGCTTTAAAATTACATGTACTTTTCTTCATGTGCGCAAGCTCCACTGCAGCCACTTCATTACATGAAAACCTTAAACACACCATCTTCATGTGGTCTCTTCGCTGCAAATTACAATAATCCTCAATCCTGATGATGGCTCCTGGCCGAAAATCTGATTGACATAATTATTGTAACTTGCAGCAAAGAGACCACTTGAAGATGGTGTGTTTAAGTTTTTCATGTACCACTACTTCAAAAAGAAGTATGAGAGTGTGATATCAGACCCGAATCAGCTCCTGAGGAGAAGCACAGCCCAAAGTCGGCTAGTTCTTTTCCCGCGCCCAATGGCACGTATTCACTGAAGGCGCACGTGACTAGCGCTGCGGGGAAACAAGTAGGTTTTCTCATTTGCGTACATAGTAAATTCGCACTTTACTCTTGACTTGTTGAGCCGTCTCGAACGTTGTATTCCGCAAATTCCACTTCGTTGGGTCACTACTATTGTATACCTTGAAGACCAGTAGTCTATATCGAAAGAAACTCACAAGTTCCAGCGATTAGAGAAACTTCTTTCCACGCATTTGTATACATTTGTATGCGGAATCGAACAAGTGTCCCCCCAGCGTGGCTCACGTGCGCCCATACCATGTATGCAGCGTGGGTGTCCGCCATTTTAGATGAATACGTGCCATTGTGTCATGGGAGAATGCCTCTCTAGCTCTATGCTGCATCATATCTGGGTTTTTTAACACAGTTTAGGAGGGAGAGACTCTAGTGAGGATAGCTTATTTGTACTGCTAGCTCACCCCCCCCCCCCCCCCGGTTACTAAATTGGCTTTACTTGACTGTGTGGATTGCGTCGGTGCTGACACTACTTTCGAAATTGGATGCGCCTTCAATTTTTTCCCTTCAATAACAATATGGGGGCATAGGTAAAGGCCACAGCAAGAATGCTTAGCCTAGCAGTTCTCTCGTTCATTGGGTGTATTTTCGGCTTAACATAAAATGGTTTCTATTCTTCAAGGGCACTATGCCCTCCTAAATACGTACCGCCCAGTCAACTGGGCACATACTTGATTATTTAGTCAAGTTTTAAACACTTAACAGGCCACGATCGTACGAAAGCTACAAACGCACAAATTGTTGTCTTTGCTTTCCCCTGTCAAACGTTTTGAAACTTTGCCATGCAGAATCTCTATGATATCATGGGTGTTTGTCCCTGAACAAGAGATTCAAAAGACTTTAAGTTTTAATGTACAGTAGAATGCCGATTATCCGAATGCCATCTATCCGAACGATCACTTCCTTATCCATAGTGCCTGTTTGCACTGAATTTATGGGACATGAGCTTCTTACTGATTTTCCCAACCCGAAGCACAATTCACATGATTCACAGGATGTATAGCAACAGGTTGGGTTCAAAGTGGGTAACCGAAGTGTCATTTTGAGGAGGTGCAGTGTGTCTAATTCCTATTGTACTGCTGAAGAGAATGAGAAATAATGAAAACATGAGAGGATGTGCATGCTTAAGATGGATGTGTGGCCGCTCCTCATCGGAACCCCTGGAGACAGCCCCGCTCCTGGAGGGGTGCGGACAATCGGCACTCTACTGTACTCATAAGAAGGGAAAAACTCATGCGTAACGACTGTCCCTACATGAGAGAGTCAGAGAGAAATTTCCTTGTCATAATCACATTTTCTCTCCACACGCGTAAAAGGACCGGGCTACATTATATAGCCAGTGTGTCAGTGGAAACACTTCTGTGCACATGTGCATATTATACGGCACAGGGGCTAATCAAAGATGGAGCACGCAAACACACACAAATGTCTACACGTGGAAGCCACTATTCCATTGGCATTGCGGAGCAAAAATAATGCAGTATGGCTTTAAAAGGTGGTGTGGATCCACTTGAATTCAAGCTGGCAGTTACACTCATGATTACCTGAGTGGAGAGCTATGTCTGCCGCCTCTAGCTTTGTTCTACTGGCTACTAACTGCAATGAGCTAGTCTGCACTCCACAATTTCTTGCCACGCACAATGTCACCTACAGCAAAACCACCGGAATCACAAATCAAGAAAAGGAACACAACCAGCATCGTATAACGACATTGATGCAAATAATAGTCCTGCTACTAGTGACAGCTTCATACAATTACAAAGGACACTTGATTACTTCAGTAGCGTAAAGTGCCACGAGAGTGCCCCACCACCACTACCTCCCTTTCGTGGTCGTGTTTTGGAGGTGGTGTCTTGTCAGTAAGTCATACGACACCTCGTAGACACATTGCACGTTGTGCAGTCAATCAGTACCCAGTTCACCTTCAAGCGGTTGCCAGGTCTACACAAGAAAATGCTAAGTGTGACGTTAGTACACTAAGGTTCTCACATCGAACAAACTTACTAGCACTTTGTCGTACGATTTTCCTTTTCCTGGCCGTACAGGCGCTAGGCTCTCTTGTGGTACTTTATGGTACATATTTATGTACTGTCATAACTCTTTACAAAGATTTAAGGAGTACTTAAAACCTGTGTTTACCGGACCCTGCACCAAGCGGAGTCCTTTATTGACGGGACACATTTTCATGTACCAACGCGCAGCCACTGAACATCCACTGCACCAAAGGCATTTCCTAGACGTACCAATTAAGATATGGCGATTGAGCACCTCGCTTGAATCGTACGTTTTATTGAAGTTTGATTCGTAGTTCTACATCAGAGTATGAGTGCAAACTGAAAGAAATTGTTGTGCGTGGTCATGATTCTAAACCAGAGCATGATAGGGACATTATTTGAGAGGCTAGTGTCCTTCGTGTGCTGTCTGATTCGGAAGCTTGCAAAGGATCATGAGAAGAAAGAGAGCTTTACAGCAAGACAAAAACTGTGAAATTGCGTTGAAATACCAAAATGTCGTAACAATTTGTTTGTTTCCACAATTGTGCTGCTGCACTGAAATACAGCGCCCAGATGTTATAAGTGCACTGTGACTCTGGAAGGGGTGTCAAGCATCAGTACTCCATGCCTTCTCGACATACACCTAAAGTGGACTGGATTGCAAGAAAAAGTGTTGACATTTGATGATCTACCTACTAGAGACAATCAGTATGACAGTAGTGATCAATATGACACAACCAACACACCCTGCGTACCGTATTTCCTTGAACAGCCGCGGCAGCCTGTATTCAAAATTAGCAAAACGGGTGAGGCCCTGACAAATAGTTGTACGTCACAATGTACGTGCTGTATGCATAGAGTTCACGTACGATGCGCACTGTTGAACCTTTGTTGTCCAGCTACACCATAGGCTAGTGCATCTTCATTTCTTTTTGTGTTGCACTGAAAAGAATATCATGACAAAGGAGCTTGAGGGTCGACTAGCAAGTTAGTTGCTTGTTCAGCAGCAGCAGTCCGTCATGGCGACGTGGATGAAGTGGAGGAGCTTCAAGAAGAAGTCAACGCTGAAAATTTTGGATGCAATACTATAAAAGGACGCCGCAAGTTTTGTTCTCTGCCGTTCGATTTCTCTTTCTGCATTCGTTCTTTTCACAGCGTCAGTGTCCCCTTTCTCCTAGACAAGTTCTCCGATCTGAGTTCTTGGTTTTGTAGATTTGACAATCCTCAGTGCGTCTTACGTTTCATCCGTTTACTTTGTTTGGGTACTATTGTCTTTTTTTGGTGGTCGATAAAATAACTCGTGTTGCTCTCCGTTATGTTTTGAGAGGTCAGCATCATGGCGTGTTCGATGTATTCCCTTCTTTAGATCGCCTTTGAGTCCTTTGTCCGAAGCGAGAGCAGCACTAGCTGTATGTTAAGGAACATGACATCGTAGCTGAAGGTCATCTCTTAGCTGTGAAATTGCGTATAAATTGTGAACTGCTCTGCACTTGTGTACAGATAGCCCTCAGTTCAAAGAAACTGGCGGCACTTATTCAAGGGCGGCTGGTAATCAAGGGGTGGCGAGTGTTCAATGAAATACGGTAAATGTAATTCTGCTAGATAGTGACTCAAACACATGGTGAAGATACCTTTCCAGAATTTAGAGCAAGCAACCATCCCGTTGCAGCACGGTGGGGGAGGATAGACTTTGGACTGAAACGTGTGAACTGATCCAGTGGAGATCCTTCATTGTGACCACTCTCCATCATCCAAGGTGAAAACGGTTGAGGGATCGATGTCTAAGGAAACAACAACATTGTAAACATGCATGGAACAAACATTAAACCACACACACACACACACACTTCACACGCACGCCCCCCCCCCCCCCCCCCCCCACACACACTATCGTACGCAACTCTTTTCATATTGATTCTGTCACAAATTTTCTTGCTCTCCATGTACAGTAGGGATCAACCATGGCAAATACGCCATCATATTCATCCCTCCTTCCAAAATCACGCTGCAAGTTCAGTTTTGTGTGAAACCTTTTTGCCTGAAATGTTGTACCCATAGTGTGGCAACACACCAGCTAAAGACAGGGTCAAGGCAATCGTCTTCAGGTCTGAGCGCACACACTCACGCCCGCACAACCACATTCACACACACAAACAAACACGCACGCACACATCCTCCTTCAATACGCTGTCTGGAGGTGTGAATCAAGAAAGACGCTCATATTCAACATGTGGCTTCTAGCAGTTCTCATACACGCTGACCCCAAAACGCGGGGAATATCAGTTTCAACCACCTTTAATCTCCTAAAATTCAGAGAGGCTATAAGAACAGTTAACCAACTCTTCGGAAAGTCTCGAACTTTTCCGGGAGGATTTTATAACGTACCCTTAAAACTTGAAGAAGTTTTAAAGATAAGTCTCGTTGTAAGATAACTTATTCGATGGGGCAGTGATTATCTACTAACGAGGGAGGACCTGTACTGGAAACCCAGAGCCAGTAGACATACCAACAACCTAAGCCATGAAAGCTACATAGTAACAAGAACTGGATTGTGGAGCCTAATCTAGGCCGGCTTCCAAATCCATAGACAAGAAGGTAGCCGTCTGACAGGTTGGCACCATCGCTATCACCACCGCCACACACTTGCATCCATAACACACACATGCATAAATGCAAACATCCATGACCCACTGTTATGCATCTCAAACTACTGTATAAGTACAACGTTTGGTTTGGAATTCACTTTCGCTATATTCGTTAGGGGGCACGAAATAACTAAAGTTTTTTTCTGAACGTTCGAGGTGACCGACCTCGACCAAAAACGAAATTTAGTACGTAACGAACCTGCTGGTGGAGTGATCTAACCAAAGATTTCGCAAACGTAAATTTGTACTTATACAGTAAGTGATTACTCACCCCTTATTCCCGTAGCTATGCAGAAGACGTTACTTCAGTAACGTCTGGCGCTAGCCAGGGTCCACACAGCTTTAATTTGGTATTTGTTTGTTTGTGTGTTTGTTTGTTTGTTTGTTTGTTTGTGTCACGCCTGGCGCTATCCCGTATCTGTCCCGTATCTGTCCCGTATCTGTGACTACAAAGGCTCTACAGGATTGTACATAACAGCTGTCCACAATATTTGCGGGCTCCTGTATCTGTCCCGTACCGTACCAATATTCGTCGTATTATGCATACGACTCCCTGATGTATTATTATTATTATTATTAGACACAATCTCATAGCATGTGACAAGCATAGCTAGTGCAGGGACAGAATCCCCTGAGACAAGGGCGTTGAGCCAGCCACGGCAATAGTAAGCTAGGAAAACAAAGCAAAAATAATATGAATTAAAGCAGAAAATGAATGGAAAATTACAAAGAAAAACGATTAACGGAAGTGAGCACTATCAAAATTCGTGCATCACCCAGGTATTCGAGAATGTTCTTCGATGATAATTATTGCGTCTAGTTCAGTTGTGATAGTAGATCTTTAAACTGACCAATAGAAGAACAAGCTTTCAGACCGTATGGTAATGATAACCAATGAGAGTAGCCGGAAAACAAAGGGGACTTTAGATACTGGGCTGACTTAACAAGAGGCAGGGTGAGCGCGTTACGGGTTGAGCTTGTCGAAAACCAATTGTACTTCATCATGTGTGAAGGGGTTTTATGAAGAAATATCTTATGAACCAGTGTACAGAGATGGTGCTTATGACGAACGGAGAGAGGAGAAGTGTGTGCAAGTCGATAAAGGGCATCCGAAGGAAAACATCGATCCTTGTTGTAAAGAATTTTAAGTATAAATCTATGGTGGACTTCTAATTGGCTCAGAGTTGTGTCAGAAAGGCCACACCAAGCGGTATCGCAATAGTCGAATATAGGGAGAATATAGCACTGATAAAATAATAGTTTACACTGGATGGGCAAATGAGTGCAATGTGATTGTAGTACCCCTAAGGCTGAACTGGTTCGCTTGCATACACAGTTGACATGTGCAGCCCAAGAGAGTTTGCAGTCAAACATCACACCTAGATGTTTGTGCTGAGTAACAACACGGATAGGCATAGTCGAGTCAGGGAAGAATAATGGTTGATCAGGAGGGGATGAAGAAATATACATGGCTTCTGTCTTGTCAAAATTGGGCTGGAGTTTCCACGTTTGCATCCACATGACAGTGCTGTTGATGCGATGCTGCATGGTAAGAAGTAATTGTGCAGGGGAGGAATCAGAACAGATAAGGCCAGTGTCATCCGCATACAAACTAACATCGGGGACAACTGAAGGTAGGTCATTAACGTAAAGCAAGAATAACAAAGGACCCAGAATGGAACCTTGGGGCACTCCAGACGTTACAGGGAGGGGATCAGACAAGAAATAGAACAAGCGAACAGCCTGAGAACGAGCAGACAGATACGAGGATATCCAACGCAAGGCAGCATCCTCCACCCGGAAGGTGACCTTCAACTTGGCAAGTAAGCCACGATGCCAAACGGTGTCGAATGCCTTAGCCAAGTCGAAAAACACCATTCCCACGTGCTCCCCACAGTTCCTCTTTGTCGCTATGTCTTGGACAAGTCGAGTCACCTGGTATTGAGTTGAGTCACCACGGCAGAATCCCGACTGAGCTGGTGAGAGAGCCGGAGCGATGTGCAGGTAGAGGGAATCGAATACAATACGCTCACAAAGTTTGGAAACTGTGCGCAGCAGAGAGATGGGGCGGTAGTTTGCCGGGCAAGCACGGGAGCCTTTATTCTTGTAAAGCGGTGTCACGATGGCGGATTTCCAATCCTGTGGGAATGTACCAGTTCGAAATGACATATTAAAAATAATGGCGAGAGGATAGGCTATTGATGGTGCAAGAGACTGCAGCACTTCATTCGGGATCCCATCAGAGCCGGGAGACTTTCCACATTTCAGGCGCTTCAGATATTTCCGAACTTGAAATGTAGTGACAGTGATTGTACGGAACGGAACAAATATGAAAGGCGATTGGGACAAAGGGGGAATGCGCCACGAAGGATCATCAGGTAGCCCAAATGAGGTGAACTGAGTGTTCAGAACATCAGCTATGCTCTTGGGGGACGTGGCGACCGTACCGTCGGATGCTATCATCGTTTGGGGCATGACACGGCCGGAAGTGTGCCGCTGTGCTCGCACAAACTGAAAGAGTGTAGGTCGATTCGGTGACGTTAGTGATGCTTGGATGGAGCGTATATATTGACGATGTGCTTGCCGAGACAGGTGCTTTACAGCATTCCTTTGTCGGTTATAAGCTGCATGATTTACTGCTGTCGGATATTTTTTGTACACACTATATAGATCACGCTTGCGTTTTACAGCAGACCTGAGCTCAGCAGTAACCCATGGTGGAGATTGCATGCGGGGTCGTGGAGATGTCACAGTGTGGGTGGCTCCGAATGAAGTGAGGTGCCGACGGAAGGCGGACTGGAGCTCACAATCAAAGTGATGAAGTGCGTCATTAACATCAGTGTACGAGTTCAGAGAGGACCAGTTGTAGCCAGCTAAATCAGCGTTGATTAATTGCCAAAGGTGCGAAGGTACTTGTTTGAAGCGATACAGTGAAGAGGGAGGACCAGTGGCAGAGTTGGGGAAGTAGTTCGAAATAGGGGCGTAACATAAAGTGCAAACAATCTGTATATGGTCAGACATACCCAAGGGAGGTGCTTGATCAATTGAGCGCACGAGGCGTGGTCGGTTGGTGATCAACAAGTCCAGACACGAAACAGAGCCATTAGGCGAGGAATGAGTGGGGAAGTCAACCATCTGGTGGAGCCCAAGAGCAGCAAATACTGTGCTAAGGAGATCACCAGCCTTCGAGGTAGAATCGGTGGGACACCAGCTTGAGTTGTGGGCGTTGAAATCGCCAGTCACTAGCAGATCATAAGAATCTAAACAGACTGACTGTAATGCCTCAACAAACATGTCACAAAAGTACGACAATTGCATTGTGCTCTGTGAGGGTGGTCGATACATGCAGCATAGTAAGATGGGATTCTGAGATTGAGTAGAGGGGGAGCCAAGTTCAAGCCACACAGACTCGCAGCCAGGGCGTTGAAGGTCGGCACGAGGGGAGACGTACGGAAAGGAGTCCGAACGGACAAGTACGGCAACACCCCCATACCCACGGCTACAATGTGCTGACCGATTGTCTTCCGGAGGTCGATCTCTGCGGATGCAGATATAGCCTGACAGTGAGAGCGGGTTCGAGGGACAGAGCCACGTCTCTGTTAGGCAGATTATGTCAGGCTTAGCACATTCGGCAATAACGCAGAGCTCAGACAACTTGTTGACAACAGAGCGACAATTCAGAGATACTAGGGTTAAATCACGCTGGGATTTAGGGAAAAAAGGGAACGCTGATGGATTTAGCGCTGGACATGCAATGTGTGCGGGTCGGCCAGAGGAGGGCTGAGCGGGGTAGAGCGGGCGGGCTAGTTTCGATAGTGGGGTGAATACAGGGGCGTTGGGATTTAGTCGTTGCTGCTGCATCGTTGTGTATGTTGGTTTGTTAGCATGTAGAGTGGGATTTGGAAAGAAATAGGGAGACGAGGAGGAAATTAAATTAGAATAGACGCCGATTAGGTGATAGGATGCCTCAGCATAAACATACTTTGGAAGAGAGATCCCGTCGTCTCCAAAATAAGCGTGAACAAGCGATTCAGTGCCGGCCACAGGAAACGTCGGAAGAGAGATCCCGTCGACTCCAGAACGCCCGTGATCGGTAGAGTCCGGCGGTACCAGGCAACGTCAGGACAGACATCCCGTTGAGTCCAGAACGCCCGTGATCGGCAGAGTCTAAGCCGGTCCCAGGAAACGTCAGGACAGACATCCCGTCGAGTCCAGAACGCCGTGATCGGCAGAGTCAGCGCCGGTCCCAGTAAACGTCAGGACAGACATCCCGTCGACGCGCAGAAAAACTAAATCTGCAGCCTCTTTTGCCGTCGATCAGGATACGTATTTATATAGGAGACTGTAAAGTTATGTAATGTCCAAATTTCGACGTGAGCAGCAGGTCACTCGCGTTGATTTTTTCGACGTGCGAGCCAAATAACGCGAGCTGAACTTTCGCGTCGCAGACATCCCGTCGACGCGCAGAAAAACTAAATCTGCAGCCTCTTTTGCCGTCGGACACGATACGTATTTTAGGAGACTGTAAAGTTATGTAATGTGCTCCACAGGCAACCATGCATTCGGCGTCGTCATTGGCTCAACAGGTCAATGTAGATGTATTACTACAAAAAGGCCAGAAAATCCGATTCCTGTATTAAAATCAACTAATGTTCGCTGGCGATTTAATTTCGCTGATTTCGCCGCTTGGTACCAACCGGACAAAGGAAATCGCAGGCCAACGTTTGTCATATAGGCAAATGATGCATGATTGAGCAATGGATGCATGTGAGAGCAAAAATACCGATCGATTTCAAATTTGACGTGAAACTGCGCGTCACGTCGGAAATAACGTGCATCTTAACCTCTCTAATCGAGAGGTTTCTATTTCTCATCGGCCAAAATTTGTTGATTTACAATATAAGGAGATAAAATTTAAGAAGGAGCAAAACAAAAGTAGGTGATTATTAGAGAAACAACAATCCGCAATAAATTCTGCAAATACTTTTGCCTAACTCATAATATTCAAACCGATTGAAACGTTTTTGCAATACAGTGATGTGGCCAATGAACGGAAAAAGACAATTCCATCAGTTCTTATAACATGTACCATGAGCTAGGCAAAAAAGCATAAAAGCATAGCGTAGGGCCCTGAGCTTCCAAGCTCTCTCGTTTCGATTTTTCACTTCACCCACCCCTGCTATTCGTTCACACTCACTTGAAACTTTCGTATTTCACATTGTTTTACACGAGCAAATATACAAAGTAAAGAGGCCAATGATATAAATGGCGGAATTGCTCTTGGATACATAAACGGGGGGGGGGGGGGGGGGGGGTACCAGCCCAGTGTGTATGGGCTATAGTTCAACAAAAAAAAGAACAACACTTTACCAGTGGAGGATTCGGTACTTCATAATCCACTACTTACCACTGATGCTTGCTGTAGCCATTGTGCTGCCAAAGGCTGTGATGGCACAAGTGGACTAGCCAACTCCCATTTCAACTGCCACAAGTTGATAAACTTATCCTAAATGAGTACAGACAGCAATGATGAAAATAACGACACCAAAGAGCAGCAGTAAAATAATATCGATATTTTATCCCGAAACGAATTAATTTCATTTCAACCCAACCCCTCCCTCCCCTCTGACCTCATCGTGTGAGCGCAACCCTAGCGGGAAGGTCACTGATTGGTCATCCCCTAGACGACAAGTCAGACCTCATTCTAAACATCTAACTATAGGGAGGTGCTTCAAGGTGAAAAACAGAAAATCTTCGTAACAATTATCCAGTACTTAACTAACATTGACATGCATACACACTCATCCACCACAAAAGGACTACAGGTAGCCAGGGCTAGAAAAGAATCTTTACAACTATGGACTTGCACAGAGCATAGTCCAAGGGGACAGGATGCTAACCTTTGGTGACCAGACACAGCAATGGCCAGCTATATCAACAGATAGCAGGCGACACGGTGCTGAAGCATCCCAGCGCAACATACACACTGGATGAGAATGCAGCGATGATATGCTGAAAAGGATCAACAAACAATAGAAACCAACTGACACAATGAGATACACATCCACAATGATCATTGATTTGAGGGAGTTGAAACGGGAAAAGTCTGAAGAAAAACTTACTGTTACCACAAGGAGACTCTAACCAGGGACTTCGCTACTGGCCAATTACCGTATTTTCCGGTGTGTTTGCCACACTTTCAAACGCATAAAAAAAACTCAAAAATCGCTCCAGCTGGATGTGAATCGACCAGCGCCACAGCACTGCCTGCATAAAATGCAAGTATATTGTATGATGTCATTCACCAAAAGAGGTACTTTTCATGCGCTGCAATCCATCATTGCACTAGCAGGGAGTTTCTTCTTCTTTTGAAATGTATACTAGTATGTTGTCAGTTCTGAGTGAAGGACAAACTAGGCAACCTTTGGTAGAACTTCGGCCGTGCTTCTCAACTGCTAAGGTATCGTATATACCGATACCAAGAGTACATAAACCAGAGTATGCAACTGTGCATATCAGATCTGAAACAGCGTAGTTCGTGCACTACGTCACCCTGATGAAGTCAGCCAAGCTGCGACTTGTGTACAGCTAAAAATTTTCGTGTTTCACAGCCCGGAAATCAGCCAAGTTTGTATGATTTTAGACGTCCTGTTTTAGGATTTCGGTGTTTTTGTGTGACTGCGTGCGCAGCGTACATCCGCTGGCAAGTAAATTCACCAGGCTATTCGTATCAATAAACCGAAATCAGGACAAACTCAGTGACCTGCACCACTGTGAATGGTTACACAACTTTTCGCCGTACCGGTGGCTTACCATGCCTTCAGAAATGACGTACTGCACGGATTACATTCCCGCAGGAACATCCTGAGTTGCACACTCTGGTTTATGTACTCTTGCCGATACCAAGAGTAGATAAACAAGAGTGTGCAACTCGCGGATGGGTTGGCCCACGGCGGAATTTTTGACGTAATCTTTTCGTTGACGCACGCGCTGCGAGCCTTTTGGAGAGTTTTCCCTCGTGCACTTGGCTGGGCTTTACACTACAAGGCCGGTGCCCAGCACGTGCTCTCACACTGCTCTGCGGCAAAATCCGCGTTTCTCTGAAAAAAGGTGACGTAAACAAAAAATTCCGCCGTGGGCTGCAGATTGTGCAGGAGAGATCCGGAGTTGCACACTCTTGTTTATCTACTCTTGCCGATACCCATTAACCCTTTACGTTCCACGCTCAATGTATACAGAGAATTACACCCTCTAAAATGATACCTTGAATCGGACGTAACTTTAGGTTTCCCTTGGACAATTGTCATCATCTTGGGCATCCTGGAAAGCTCGTGACGAGAGGAACAGTACGAACCCAAAGTCAATCCCATAGGATGCTCTGGACCAGCGCTGCAAGCCAGCGAAGGCGTTTCAGCGCGGGGCTTGCGCTCTCAATCAATCTCCATCCGCCATTTCACTCTCCTTGCTCGCATGAACCTCAATTTTAGTGTAGTCACTTGCGGGAGAATTTGAATGAGTGTATCCTTGCCAACAGCTGACGTGATCAGGGAAAATCCCAGTCGTTGAGTTATTTCGTTTTCTCCAAACAACCAAGAGTTGATCAAGTTACGATAGCTTGAAAATTTAGAATCAATCGAACATCTGTGTATGATAGATGTATGGTCGGAAAGTAAAGGGTTAAGTTAGGTTGCCAAAAATTCTGTCTGGCGTGCGGCTTATATTTTACCAAATGTCAACAAAAATGTGAATTCTGTATCCAAAGAGGGTGGGGGGGGGGGGTGCGGCTTGGACCCTAGTGCGGCTAACACCCCCGGAAAATACGGTATGGCCTACCATTTAGGGCCCAGACACATATGCACTTGAAAGTGGCAGAACCGTTGAAGTGGACCCACACCTGCCTATGGAGAACTCGCAGGTTCAAGATGCGAAATCGAATAACATGGAAAAACTCGCCTATGTGCCCAGGCCGTATTTTCTTGATCATTGATACTAGTATGAGAAAATGGCCAGTTGACTTGGAAAATCGACCTTCGTGGAAATATGGGTGAAAACCAGCTTTTTACAGTATCTTATTGGTATGGGTATGCACTCTTGGAAAACAACAAATCAGACTGATCACAGCATTTTCATGATGGTGTGACTCATTATAATTATGCGGGCATATCCCTAAAATGGACTTGTCATAAATGTAACTGTTGTCAAAAGGTATTTCCACTGCTTGCGACAGCACGCAACAGGCATTTCCTTGTTACAAGCATTGCATGTGCACGTTGCGTCGCAGAAAATGATTATTATTGTGAATATTATTGTGAATGGGCCTTCACATGGAAGACAAACTCTGGAAAGGAATTCTTCCAAGTAAAGCATACCGTGTAATGTTCCAAGGCTCATCTGGATATACAATGGCAATGGTTTCCTTCGCACTGCAGGGAGACGGCAGAAATCATTTATTTGTAACAAACTTCTGAGGAGAGAAGACACCTAAAATCGCAAGAAAGACTACAAACTCCAAGCAACCAGAACCAATGAAAGTGATTATGAAACGGATGGATATGTAGCATAGTAGGTTTCATTTTCATCTTTGCACGTTTTTTTGCACCTTGGTTGTTAGTTGATCTGATTTCCTGTGACTTTAAGTTTTGATTGGTATGATTTTCTCTCAGTTCTAAAGCTATCTTCATAACTGGCAAGTGTACTCATCTAACCACGCATCCGTGCGCATTTCTGCTAGCTTGTAGGGTGTCATGCATGTGGTAACGCACCGAAATAGATAATCAATCCAACATGTGTTGTTCAGGGCGTATCATGGCAATAGCACAGCAGATATGATGTTGTGCTAGTTGAAGGGCGACTGCCCCCCCCCCCCCCCTTCTTTTGGGCTCCTGATCACGATGGTATACTTCGTGTTTTCTCTACAATGACTGGAACTGGGTGAAAACTTGAATTGAAGGTGCCCAAAATTGTCCGGAAGTACAGCTTGACATCACACCAACTCGACCTCTACTAGCAATCATCGCAGAGAAAAACGAAGTACACCATCGTGATCGGGAGCCAAATGACTACAAAATACGGCAAAGAAATATTTTGGTGACAGTTCCCCTATAACACAAGGTGGGTGAATTTCTTAGTTAAAACTATTTGGCTGTGCTTCTGCAAGCTGATAAGCTGGTCCTTAGCAAGAAGGGGTACTGTAAATAGAGGATAGACTATATAGAGAGCTACATGTGGAGTCGTCAAACCACTATTCTATGTGTGACGCTGATGGAAGAGCAATTGAGCTCCTGCTGCTAAGGATGTACAGTGCAACCAGGAACCCACTCTATGCATTATCAAGCCAACAGGAAAACACTTACTCGGATGACAGCAGCTTTTCAGGCAACTTGAAAACAAGCGCTAACAGATTCTGAACTGACCATGCTGCGGCACAACTTGAAATTCTAAGTTGGGTACACACACAGCAGCAGTAGCAGCAGCAGCAACAAATAGAAACAAAGCTGATCACGGACAGCTATAAAATGAAACAAAGGATGCATGATGTATGGCGTACAATAGTGTTTCAAAATGGCATAGACCAGTCATACATCAAGAGTACGGAACTACTCTCCCAGAGTGTGTAGTTACATGTGTGATCCACGTCCCCATGTTCAAAAAGAAAAAGAACCACTGGCACCATGCATAAGTTAGTCTTGCTCTTCAGCAGTGTATTGTTTCGGGTTTCCTGCGGTAACAACGATCAAAATGCATTTCTTCACGGCTTTTGAGAGAACCAATTTGTGGTGGGTCTGATCTACTCACCTCCCACCGCTTAGGAGCTGCATCTGCGCCTTGATTTTAGAGGGTGGTGGCATTCCTACGGATGCAGAAAACTCGGCTTCCAACCGAGTCTCACGCAAACCGTGATTTTTTTAGAGAACAATTTCTAGCTTCACAACATGAAATTTAATAACAGGTCTCTACACCTAGTGAGTTTATGTGTTGGTAGATGTGGTAAAAGATCACTCACATTCAAAAGACTTGAAAAGGGATAGAGAACACACCCAGAAGAAGAGAATCAACCTGAGAAAATGCACAACTGTTCAAGGCTCAATGAAAACTATGAACAAGACTGCGGCTGAATGCACATGCCGGAATTCAGCTGGACCCTATGGGGGCGGAAAGATGCTCCACGGAAAGAGGAGCAGGATTCAGATGCTGCCTTTGAAAAACGGACGCGTCTTCATCTGAATACCTGATAAATGTGCAGTGTGACAGCAGCACAACGGAGGCAAACAGTGGACATAGCAAAGAGGAGAATGACATGGAAAGGCGCACACCAAAGTCTTATAGCGTTGTTACAACTATTTGTAAACACTTCCAATCCCCGAACAGGCTCTCAGCTGCACAATATGAACAAAAAGAACTTCCTATATTTCTCTCACTGGGCATCATCAGGGCATTGATGATGCCCAGTGGGAGAAATATGGGAAGTTCTTTTTGTTCATATTGTGCAGCTGAGAGCCTGTTCCGTGAATGGAAGTGTTTACAAATGGAAACAAAATGCTGCAGTGGATTTGTAGAGCTCTTAGGAAAGGGCATTACAACTAGCTTAACCCGTTCTCCCCCAATGATGTGTTTTCACGTACTGCGCGACCTGGCCTGGCTTCCCAATGACGTATTTTCACGTGCATTGGATTTGAGTAGGTGCAGTGCAGTATAGACCACTGTACAAATCGTCGCAACTCTGTGAGGAATTATCGGATCGTAATGACGGCTCATCAGAAAGCTGGTGAGCAGAGCTTTCCGGTGATACGTTGTTTATTGCAATAGGACCAAGGATACATGAGCGTCAAACTCAAAACACAGTCCTGAACTTTTATTCAGCGCAGTACGTGCTTTCAGCACAGGCGCGGCATACTCTCCCAGCTTGGGGATTTCACTGCCACACGGCCCATGCACAATGGGCACCACGATGATCGGTTGAACTTCACGAATCCTCTGCAGTTTGAATGATCGTTCTGCGATGAGTTTGAACTGTAAACCGAAAGAATTTGGGGCAGAAGGTGGATCGCTGTTTCGCAGGCACAAGGCGGCTTGCGAGGTGCATGCAGGTATCATTGGTGTACCTGCTTCTCCCTGGACACATTGGATCCACAGAGTAGACTCTCAGCTTTCCAGAGCCCAAGATCGTAAAAAAAACAGCGACTGGCGAGTGAAGTTACGAAATTTCTGAACGACCTGAGTGGATCCACTGCATGCGCACACATGCACACTGGGAAATGGGCAAGTTTTCGGGTCACATGCTGGGGGTGGAAGGGGTTATACCAATGAGCATTGTGATTTAGAAGATACACTGAACCCTTGCAATTGTAGTATATGTACTCAGAATACAACTAGTTACTACCAGTTTACGAAGGACTGGTCCAATATTTCATGCAGTCTCTCTTTCCTCTCTGCCTGGCTGTTTGTCTCTCTGTCTCTTTCTCTCTGTCTGTCTCTGTCTCTCTGTCTGTCTCTCTCTCTCTCTCTGTCTCTCTGTCTCTCTCTCTCTCTGTCTCTCTCTCTCTCTCTCTCTCTCTCTCTCTCTCTCTCTCTCTGTCTCTCTCTCTGTCTCTCTCTCTCTCTCTTTCTCTTTCTCTTTCTCCTTTTTTCTTTCTTTTTTTTCGCTATCGCTGATTGCGTTGAGTACCCAGCATGTTTCTGAATTGTACAGAACTTCTCTACACAGCCCATGGCAAATCGATACCCTGCCACTACGACCAGTGTGGTTATGGGGATCCATACAAATACTTCGTAAAAACCATCTACCTCTGAGCATCTTGGTGGTGAAGTCCACGGTCTTCCGCTCGCCATTCCACTTTGTAGGCGACATCCATGATGTGTTCACCTGAATCTAATGCTATTCTACATTCTGAAATACTGTGGCAACATAGTCCATGCAACTGGCAAGATTGAAGAGGCCAAGGCAATCAGAAAAATAAAACTCGTACATGTAGGTTAGTAGACGCAGATGTATTTCGAGTCAGACTCGATTTGAATTGATACAAGAAAAATACAAAAAAATAATGTCAGATCATGTCAGTTTACTAGTATGACGTCAACATTAATGATCAGTCTGACTCTGCGTCACCATGGTCACTGACACTGCACTGGAGTACTAGTACTCGAGTCTGGACCTGAGTCCTGAGGATGCAACCAAGCAAGCTTGCAAGCAGGGAGTAGTATCATGTAGTAGTACAATTGTACTACTCCCTGCTTGCAAGACTGGCAAGAATAGACCAATCCCGAAAAGATTGTCTGGGTTCGTGAAAGGGGGCACGCGTGCAAGCCAGCACGTGTGAAGTGCATCGTTTTGTATTCAGTTTGTGTGTGTCAGCTCATGGCGGAGGAGGGAGAGACTTTTGCTCGCCGAGCTGAAGCTGAAGCTAAAGGATTTGATGGAGTCCTGCCAGCAGCTAGTCAAAGGACCTTCGGTACCTTAGGCAGACCCTGACGGAGTTTGGAGGCCAGATAGCTCTCGGTGAGGAGAGAAACATTCGCGTGGCGATCGACTCTCCGTAAAAAATGCAAGCTACAGTTGTGGCAAGTGAAATCCGACACTTGGCATACTGGACTGCACCGTGCATCCTGCAGCCTCTGCAGCCCTGCATACGTACAGTACATGTGCTGCATACAACCAAAAGAGTTATGTACTCTTGATACAACTAATACTTACTTTATCTGTCTGATGACATGACAGCAAGAGTACATAACCCCCCAGAGTGTGCAACGCCTGATCCAGCTGTGCATAGGGTCTTGGTCGAGCGGAATCGGATCTTTGCGTCATAATACCGTACACATCTGAGGGGAACCCGGGAAGTCGCGGGTACTCTCGGATCAAAATCAATGGTGCCCAGCCTCGAGACCGGCCTTGCGCTGGTGCGGAGTGTACGTATGACATCAGAAGATCCGATTCCGCCGACCAAGACCCTATCATATGCAGAGCTGGATCGGCGTTGCACACTCTGGGGGGTTATGTACTCTTGATGACAGTACTCATCACAGTCAAGGTTCAAAAGGTGCTGCCAAAAATGAATGGGAATTGGATACCAATACTCCTTATCTGTACTTTGTTTGTGAACTGTGTGTATCTAAGCTGTGACCTTTCGACCTGTTTGGGATGCATACGGCTCTACAGTACAAATTAGGTGCAGGGCATTGCATCATTGATGTCCATTTGAGGCGCTGTCCCCTATGGCAAGTGTCGGATTTCACTTGCCACAACTGTACATAGCGCCGACATACTGCAACGCAACAGCTACGATTTCAGCTAACTTCTCGATCTGCTGCTTCACAAAGTTCAACTATTTACAAGTCCTGACTGTTGTAGTCTGAAGCTGGAGTCTCATCGCCCACCTACAGGTAGCTTTTGGAGCTGATGGATTTCCCGACTTGGACTCCTTCCGCAAACTCTCGCAACATTACTACACTCTACAGTGTATGCTGTGTTTCCGCACGCTCGTGTCGACATGTCACCTATACTGTACATGTACCGGGTCGCGGAGGAGCTTGACGACCTCCGCTGACTCCAGGTTTCCGAAATACTGCCGTCGTCTTCGTTGATGTCGCTGGTGACATTCTCCCCTTGCAGGACGTGCACATAGTTGTCGTCCCGGGGTAAAGACTACCGTACTGGCAATAATTTAGAAAAGCGATCCTGTCAGCTTTTCTATTATTGTGTTCACATGGCAGAAAAAACGACATCGCTATGCTACGTAAGTTTCTACGTAAGGTGCTCGGTATTTCACTTAGGCTACGTAAGTCTCTACGTAAGGTGCTCGGTATTAGATCTACCAACGCGTGGTAGCCGTGTGCTGTGCACGTGCACGGCAGACATTGTGTTCAGTGCATGCAGTCCGCGGATCCGTGTTCGGATGTGCATGCGCGAGGAACTTTACTTCCTTCTTTGGAACTGCTTCTTGCATGAACTGTTTCGGATATTTCGTCTCCTGGCCTGGCGTATTTCGTTTCGGCGCTGCTGAGACCTCCTTTCGCGGAATATTACTCAATGACAGGTGAGTTGACCAGTTGCCTTTGATTCTGCTTGTGTTGACTCTTTCATTCAGGAAAAGTGTGCTGATTTTAGGGCGGAAATTAATAATGGAAAAGTTGACAGGATCTCTTTTCTAAATTTTGCTCTTCTGCTGCCGAGCTGCGAGGCCGCCTTTTACGGAATACTCGATGACAGGTGATCTCTAAGTTGACCGGTTTCCTTCGATTCATTTGCTTATGTTCACCTTTCATTTACGGAAACGTGTGCTGATTTTATTCGGATTTAGATCCATTTTTATCTCTTTGCCCTTGTCTACAGTGTGCGAAGAACGCGAGTTCAACTTCTTGACGGTAAGGCTTATGTTAGATGTGTTGTCGAAATACTCATATTCATTGTACATTGGTACGTTACAAGTAAGGCACTGGTCAGTGGCATACTATCGTTGGCAGTTCCCAATCTGGAGGGAAAGGTTCAAGTACCAATTGACCGAGTTTGCAAAATAAATTCGCATATCAGGGGAAATCTCTATTGTGGAGAGGTTCAGTAACTTGTTTGTTTCATACGAAACAAGCCAATGGGTGCAGTCTCGTGAAAATCTCGAACTTGTATGATTGGATTTGTTTACTCAAGTCTGGGCTGTTTGATTTGTGAATACCGCCGAGATTGCACTGCCCCAAATAAAGTTTCGTGCCGCCAAAGCAAGAATTGCGATCTGCAATCTGTTTGTAGTACCTGTAAGAATGTGGAGTACATGTATCGTACTTTCTCTGTTGCTGTTTCAGTTGCCGTCATGTTGCTAAAGAAAGCTTCAGTAGAGAGGTTCTGCAAAACGAAAATTCGAACGAAGTTTCGCGACAGTCCTTGCGAAAGTGTGTGCGAATTTTTGCACGAACTTTGCGTTCTGCACATTTTCGTAGTTTGCGCGGGCCAAGTGCACGTACGCCATGACCCGATCTCACGAAATTTCCTACGACAGTTCATTTCGCGTTCCCTGCAAGTTTCGCACTTCATGATGTAGAGCGAAAGTTTGTACGCATTTTCGTTTTGCAGAATCTCTCTGGTGACTCAATTGTTTCATACGAGACGAGTCAATGAGTCGGTGTGGCTAAGAATCTTTCGCTGTAGAAGAAATCTATTCGTATGTCTATTGGAGATATATTTGTGTTCTCTGGTTATAAAATAGGTTAAGCTCACAGAATAAATACCATCGTTCCCTTGGTGTTCGTCCTAAAGAGGTCCTAAAGAGGACTAGATATCATTCATACTCACCAAAAGATGTGTAAGACTTTATTATTGTGGAGTGCCTTGTTTATCTCTCAGTACCTCCAACCATAGCCTTGCCCCTTTTCTCCTCAGGATCAGTGTAGTTGTTGGAACGAGGTTTTGGACTCAGCAATGTATTCGTTTACATTTTAATACATGTTTATTGTTCCTCCTTTGCTGTGTTGTTTTAGACAATCGTGGACTAACAGTTTGAAGTCATTGAACTACTTCCAAAAGTTGTATCGACATCGACAGGATTACGATTTCAGTTTCAATATGATGCTGGATGACCTTATCACGATAACCCATGACTATAAATCATTATAAACACAGAATCAACAAAAACATCTGCGACACGCACCTGGCGCGCGCATGGCTACATTTCTCAAATAAATCTGATTGAGGGTGGAGAAATCTGAAAGGCAAGACAATTTCATGAAATTCTGCAACAGCAACACGCACAGAATGGCCTCCGTATAAAAAAGTATCACCACCACTGCTCACATGTTTCCCCGCAGAAGAACATGCATTATGCTAGTGCCATTTTCTGCAAGAAAAGGCTTGCACATCAATGCGTATAATATGGTATTGATATGATGTGAAGGCCATCATTTACATATTGATATAGGGCATTCCATTGATTGGTACATGGTGACAGAAAAAACAAAAGAAATTATAGCAATTAAAACTGCTTTATGGCAGTTTTCTAAGAAAAGTTATTGTGTTCTAGTCCATGGACCCCGTCTAAAAAGTAAGAAATTAACGAAATGTGATAGCTGAAAATTAAAATTTCACACAAAACCTCACAATAATCACACACAGAATGAAAAGCTACATGCAGAAGACATTTTCCCCTCGTGATCCTCTTTCCTATGCATGCATGTTGCCAATTGTTGGTGCAGTACAAGTTTAGTGTTGAAAGCAGCATTTCAAGTGTTGTGATTATTGTGAGGTTTTGTGTGAAATTTTAATTTTCAGCTATCACATTTCGTTAATTTCTTACTTTTTAGACGGGGTCCATGGACTAGAACACAATAACTTTTCTTAGAAAACTGCCATAAAGCAGTTTTTATTGCTATAATAATTATGTTGCCGCAGTGAGGCCATGAACTGATGAAGCGTTACATTGGCACATGTTTGCCGCACGCAGGGCGTTACATGCAAAGTCGCACAGGAGCCGTTACACAGGTTTCTATATTGCCGCAGTCCTTTTTTTGCTATTGCCGCATCACTTTTTTGCTATTGCCGCATCATTTTTTTGCTTTTGCTGCATCATTTTGAGTGAAAAGATCGCCGCACCCCGCCGGACGCGCGTTACGAACTCAACGAAAATTTGTCGCACTAGCCTGGTCGCGCGTTACGCCGCACCCCCCCTGCGTTACGCGTTACGCGGCAACATAATTATATTGCCAGTACGGTATGTTGTCTTTCGAAATAGTTTTTCATCACGCTCGCGCGAATGATGTTTCTCATCATGAACTCGTTCCGACGGTGTGACACGGCGATGGTCTTTGGCGGGGCACTGGCTTGGCGAAAACGATATCTTCTTGTGCAATATAACATTGATCGGCTGCAGATGAGTACAGTCACTTCGTGGTTGGTCCTATAGGAGGGCAGCTGCCAGGAAAGAGGCAGGACTCATCGAAGACGAAGCGCTCGCAACAAACAATAGCACTCGAAATATCTCGTAAGATTTAGGGCCTATCGCTTTGAGCCACAGCGCTCACAGCCTTGCCTACTT